AATACAATATAACTTTATTAATAAATATAATGATAAATATAAAGATAAAATATGATATAAAAATAGAAATTATAAAAATAAAGGTAAATATTAAAGGATTAAATAATGTATTAATTAGGAGATACAACTCTGTTCTAATTTCTTAAAACTATTGAGAACTATAAAATTTCTTGAACTCCCTCTTCCCAGGTCAGGAAAAACTCATATTTATATTCCTTTAATTTGCTGCGCGCAACGATCTACCAAATTAATGATTTACTAATTTTAACAAGAGGTAATCAACCTGGTGATTCACCTGTTACATGCAACAGGTAATTTATCTAGGTGATTCACCTGGTAATCAACCTGGTGAGCTACCTGTTACATGATTTTCAATTTATATAAATTACAAATAAATAATAAATATATTAAATAATAATATAATAAAAATAAATAAAATTAATATTCTACAACATATCAGATACTCGATATGTGCATGGTACGTCCCTAATATCAGGCATATATCAGGTACTCGATATGTGTAGAAAATATTTTTTTATACTTATCAAATACCTAATATATATATAAAATATTTTCTACACCTATCGGATATCCAATATATATTCGATATTAAGGATGTACTATACACATATCAGATATCCGATGTGTGTATAATTTATTAATTTTCAACCAGTACTTAATGTTGATTTTATGTGTAAGGTTTATGAGAAGGAACTTCTGCCTCTGAATTTTTTTAACAGTAATAATTTAAACTAGTTCTTTAAGAAGATAATAATTTCAAGTACTAGTTAAAAATTTGTACAAAGTAGAAAATGAAAAAGAATATTAAAATATTTTCTTGACCGTTAATATCACCTGATCAAAATTCTATAAAAATTATTTAGTGATTAATGAAAATAAATATAGCAAAAAAAAATCAATACAGTTAAAAGTTTAAAAAGTGAATTAATAAAGGAATGATACTATCTCTCACCTGATCTTACTAAAAAATTGATAGATAGTATAAAACATCATATAATAACACTTATAGATTCAAATAGAGATTATATAATGTATTAATTATTATTATTATTTGTCTACTTTTTAATAAAAAAAATTTATTAAATTTATTTATCTGTAAAAAAATTAGGAGAGGTCAGATACTTATAACTACTATTGTATAATCTAGATATAATTCATTTTACTAATTACACATATATTTGTTCTTAAAAATTTTTCAATAAATTAGAAAAAATAATAATAATAAATATTTGTAATATTTTATATATTTTAATAAATATTTTAAAAGTAATTAGAAAAAGAAAATATATTTTAATAGACATTTCAGAAGTAATTAGAAAAAGAAAAAAAATAATAATAATAAATATTTATAATATTTTATATATTTTAATAGACATTTTAGAAATAATTAGAAAAATAATAATAACAAACATTCATATTATTTTAATATATTTTAATATACATTTCAGAAGTAATTAAAAAAAAAAGAAAAAATTTATAATATTTTATATATTTTAATTAGTAGTACAATTTACAGATAAAATTATTATATATTTTAATAGATAAAATAAATATAAACAGATATTTGTAGAGGCTAATACATAGTGTGTATTACATAATATATATTATCAAATAGAAATTTATACATGTGATTATATTTTTTAAAAATCATTTGTCAATGTATTATAATCACATTTCATTTGTTATGCATCTGTATCTGTGATAAATAAATTTATCTATAGATCTTATCACTAATTTTAATAAATATTTCGAAAGCAATTAAAAAAAATAATAATAACAAGCATTTATAATATTTTATATATTTTAATAGACATTTTTAGAAATAATTAAAAAAATAATAATAAACATTTGTAATATTTTATATATTTCAATGGACATTTCAGAAGTAATTAGAAAAAGAAAAAATAATAATAATAAGTAACATTCATAATATTTTTTATATATTTTAATAAACATTTTAAAAACAATTAAAAAAAGAAAAAAGTAATAATAACAAATATTTTTAGTATTTTAATATATATTAATAGATATTTCAGAAGTAATTAGAAAAAGGAAAAAATAATAATAACAAATATTCATAATACTTTAATAAATATTTCAAAATAATTAAAAAAAAAATAAATATTATATAATAAAATTAATATATTTTATTGAAAAATTTGTAAATATTTAATTACAAATTATATACAATTCAATAAATTTTAGTAAATATTAATAATATTCAATATAAAAATTTTATAAATATTTTAGTAACATTTGAAAAATATAATAAATGTTTCAATATTATTTTGATGAAATATTATATATATTATTTTATATATTATATTTATTTTACTTATATTTTATCTAAAATTCATTTGAATTTTTATAATAATTTGTTTATGTTTTTTAAATAAAATTCAATAAAATTTTATTTCAAATGAGTAATGATTTTTTATTAAATGTGCTTATGAATCTATATCAAAATTTGATAAATTGGATATGTCAATTTTATACAAAATGATTATAATTCTAATTTAGATTTTGGTTTCTTATTACTTCTGATTGTTTGTTGAAAGATGATTCTGAATTGAAATGAATGGCTACCATTTGTCACATAAATGGAAATAACTTTTAACAAAAAAAATAGTAAATTTTTAACCATCTTTTAGCTACCTTTTAGCTACCTTTTAGCTAAAAACTCACTATCTGAAATTTACTATTTCAATTAGTATATACAAGTATATACTGAACAATCTTTTGAAGGTAAGAATTGGTTTTTATCATTTTGTACTAAATTTATACTTTTGTTCTTTTCTGCAATTAAATAACAAATATTAAGAAGAAATTTAATCTGTTAAACTTCTTCAATATTAAACAAATTATAAAGCAAGAAAGTATCACTAGTCAAATACAAAAGAATCACTATACTAAATGGTAATTCCTATACTATAGATCAGCTAACAATCGACCATTCTATTACATTCTATATTATAAATCAACTAAAATCAGAATTCCTTTTCAGTATGGAATATCTTTTATATTTGACCTGTACATGTAATTTGTACTTTGCTTAATTCTAAAGAGATTGATACTGATTTATTTAAAAAATGTTTTAAGGATGAGAATTTTAAAAACTAATGTGTTTGCATATCATTCATCAAAACTTTTCAGTTACAATCAATAAAATGCTATACACTAGTTAAATACAAAAGAATTACTGTACTGAATGGTAATTCCTATACTATAGATCAGTAACAATTGAATGTCCTATTGCATTCTATATTATAAATCAGCTAAAATCAGAATTCATTTTTGGTACAGTATATCTTTTATATTTGACCTGTGATATTTATTAAATATATAAACAATAATGTATATCGAGTATATTATTTTTTTTATACATGTAATAATTGTGATTTTTATTATTCCGGATATATACAATTTCATAAGTTAAAAGATAAAGTAGATAAAGTCCAATGTGGTAAACAAAACGTTAAAATTGAATTCACAATTAAAATTTATTACTCAGATTGTTACAATATCATATGTTAGCATAATAAGGTCAAAGTTTATCTAAGACATATTGGTTATAAAGAATCAGATTTACTGAATCTAAGAAGTCTTTCTTCACAAGGGAGAATTCATCATATTTGATATTTAAAGATGATGAACTTGCAATTCAGTTAAAATTTGATACTCTATTAAACAGAAATAAACAGAAAGGTACAAGACAAAAAATATGCATCAGTTAAATTACATATTGACTATAAGGTGGTGCATACTGTGGAATGAGAAAAAAATTAGATAAAATAATTTCAGGTATTTAAGTTCACATATAACAATGTCAATTAACACAATAATGTAAATAATACGAGAGTTTAAATAACACTTGTATTATGTAACATACAGGGTCCCATAATATTACGTAATATAATTCTATTTTTAATATTTCCTTTTTTGAATGATATAATATCGGAACTGGTATATTGATAATTAATTAATATAATAATTCAAACATAATAAAATATTTAATAATATTATAAATATTATGAAAATATAAAATATTAAATAGCAAGCATCAATTTGTTTTATTTGTATTGAATAATATGTTACTTTAATTAATATATATTTAACATAAAATTTATAGAAAAAACTGATCGAATTTATTATTTCTATTATTTTTGTTTCTCCTAATTGAAGGCGGTTTTTGTCTTTCATGTTCTCTTTTCCTGTTATCTTTCCTGTGGTTCTTGTGGTTGGTTTCTTTGTTTTCTTTATTGTAGCTGTTGCTGATGCTGTCTTCGAATGAGGTTCTATTTCTTTTTTTGATAATTAAAGGTTATTAGGGTGTAGATGAGATTAAAAAAGATGCGATAATTAAATTAATATATAAAAACATACCTCGATTTGATTTGTGATAAATTCATATACATTATAAGTATGTGAGACCATTATTTCACCTGGAAATAGTTTATCAATCAATTCTTGAGAAACTGAAGATGGCCAAAAATATAATGATTCATTACAGACATAAAGTTCGAGGAGTTCATTTTCATTCATAGTTTCTCCTTGTAAAAATCGATACATAAATCTTTTTAATGCTAAAGCAAATGCTTTAGCTGGAAGAAGTTCTTGTTGAGATGGAGGTATTGTCCAATCAATAACTTTATTTAAAGAATCTACTAAATCATTTGTGATTGGAGCTTTGTATTTTTCGGAAACATTTTTCACAGTGATATTAGCCATTTGTTCTTCAATTAATTCATATAATCCAATTAAATGTTTAAGCTTCAGATCTTCGGTTAACAAACTATTGAATTTAGCATTTTCAGAAATTTTTGATAGTGATGCCCATTGAGATACATATCCTTTAATCGAAAATTCACCACCACTACCAGGACTACGTTTTACAAAGCACAAAAGAATTTCTAATGCCGATAGAATATCTGATGGATTATCTATTGCAGAGTCCATTTGACCTGGCGTCAAATTAAATGAATTTGTTGGAATTCCCACGATAGCTGAAGCCTTTTCGGCGGATATTGGTTCTTGTGGAATCAAATTTCTAATATCTTCAATAATTTTCATGGATGATTGGAACAATTCCATATGATATGAAAAAAGTTCCATGAATAATTTTGAGTTTTCTAGCTTTTCTATATGAACTTTTTCATAAATTAAATACCTAGCGAGCTCTTGTTCAATTTTCTGCAAATCATAAATAATGTCCTGACCACGTCCAACTCCTAAATTTCTTTCACTAAACTGGAGAATTCTATCACAATCATCTTCCCATTGGTAAGATATTAAATTATCTTTTCTTAATTGCTTAAGTGTTAATGATTGAATATAATATTGAGGTGGTCCTTCAGTTTCTGTAAAGGAATCAGAATCTTCTAAAAATCCAAGAGATCTACAGGTTCCAGGAGTAATTGTCATAATTTCTTCTAAGAATTTATTTTGTATAAAAATTAAATATTCTAGAATTGCACAAAGATAAACTCCTTCATCTTTAGGTTCAATTAATGCCAAAGTGAGTTTCTGATCAAAATGCATTTTAGGTTTAATAACGATTTCATGACATTCATATCTATCTACATTATCAATCACGGAATTCCAAGCCTTCTCAAAATCTTTATATGCTGTCATTAATGCTTCTTCATTCTTCTCGCTTAAAAAATATTCACGGAATGTTAAGGCTAAAATTTTTTCTCTATTTAATCGATAAGAAAGGCGAGCTGATACTAATTGAACAAATTTAACAATATCCCAAAGATGTTTTACATATCTTAAACTTTCTTCATGTTTGAAGTACACGGCTAATACAGGAAATTGTTCTTTATATTGAGCCAAATTTCCATTATAATAAGCACGGAAACTTTCAAAAGTACTAACTCCAATTTTACGCCAAAGTCGAGGTAATTGAGATATATCGAACGTCGTCAAAGTTTGATTTATTTCGGATTCAATAACATTAGTAGTATTTCCTTGTACAGTAGTTGATGCAGTGTTGAGCCTAGTACGGAAATTTGTGGTTGTTTCAATTATACTTTTAATTTGGTCAGACACGTAATTTCTAGTGAATTGAGTTTCCCATTCTTCACGTTGATCTGGAGTGTTTAAATTAGATGAAGGTGGTGGATTTTGTGTCATGTTCGCCAATATTGAGTGTAATGTTAATGCTAAATTCTCATCAGAACAATTAAGAATTTGTTTGAGAATATTCCAATCATTTTGAATATGTTCAAGACAATAATGTTCCGTATTGGTAGCAACTTGATTATTTTTCTGAAGGAAATTGGTTGCAATTGTTGAGGGAGACGAAGCGCCTATGAGAATATGAACAAATAAATGTAATATCCTGAAAGAAGTAGGTGGCATAGATCGAACACAATAACCGATATCTTGATTTGGTGTTTCCCCAATATAACCAGATATGTCATTAGTTACTAAACTCCTAAGTGGGTTTTCATCTAATTTCTTATTACCGGCATGAAGCACAAACATAGTACCTCCTAACATTCTTACTTTACACCCAGGACATCTTTGCTCAGTCAAAGCATGACCGCTATTACCAATAACATATTTATAACCGCATTCACAAATATATCTATTGACAATAACAAAAAAAAAACAATTTTTTTTTTCGATAAATTTTTTTTTTTTTAAAAAAAATATAATCACCTATAATTATATTTGACTTACCGAGTAACTATTTCTCGTTCTAAAATAGCAGACAATACATATGCTTCCGTATCAGAAATGCAAGATAAAATATACATATTCTGACATGTTTCTAATCTATGTAAAAGTGTGGTAAGAGGTGATACATTTGGATTCATAGATGCATGCAATATTATTGTATGAGCGATCACTGATTTTATGAATATAGTATTATTATCCATTCTAGCATCGAAATGAAGTAATGGATG